TGTTCAGTCCATCAATCTTGTAGAATGTACAGCATAGGGCCGTAGACGTGGCTTATATACTGTAGTGAGGTGACGTGAAGCAGATGGAGGCGGGGTCATAGTGGTACCATCCACTAGTCGAAGTAGGTCTTCGTTCAAAGGTTGAACAAGTGTTGAAGAATTCTTTGTAATAAGACCCCATGATGCTGCCGTGTCTGACAGTTGTGATGAATGGTTTGAAAAACCGACAAGTTGAAGATTGAGACACTTATGCAGCATATGGGAATCTTTATTCAGGAAACGTTTCGCCACACAGTGGCTTCATCAGTCCAATACAAAGAGGAAGGCGTAAGGAGAGGAGGAGAATGAGGTAATCAGTCCCTCAACCTGGAGTCGATGTGTTCAGTCCATCAATCTTGTAGAATGTACAGCATAGGGCCGTAGACGTGGCTTATATACTGTAGTGAGGTGACGTGAAGCAGATGGAGGCGGGGTCATAGTGGTACCATCCACTAGTCGAAGTAGGTCTTCGTTCAAAGGTTGAACAAGTGTTGAAGAATTCTTTGTAATAAGACCCCATGATGCTGCCGTGTCTGACAGTTGTGATGAATGGTTTGAAAAACCGACAAGTTGAAGATTGAGACACTTATGCAGCATATGGGAATCTTTATTCAGGAAACGTTTCGCCACACAGTGGCTTCATCAGTCCAATACAAAGAGGAAGGCGTAAGGAGAGGAGGAGAATGAGGTAATCAGTCCCTCAACCTGGAGTCGATGTGTTCAGTCCATCAATCTTGTAGAATGTACAGCATAGGGCCGTAGACGTGGCTTATATACTGTAGTGAGGTGACGTGAAGCAGATGGAGGCGGGGTCATAGTGGTACCATCCACTAGTCGAAGTAGGTCTTCGTTCAAAGGTTGAACAAGTGTTGAAGAATTCATCACAACTGTCAGACACGGCAGCATCATGGGGTCTTATTACAAAGAATTCTTCAACACTTGTTCAACCTTTGAACGAAGACCTACTTCGACTAGTGGATGGTACCACTATGACCCCGCCTCCATCTGCTTCACGTCACCTCACTACAGTATATAAGCCACGTCTACGGCCCTATGCTGTACATTCTACAAGATTGATGGACTGAACACATCGACTCCAGGTTGAGGGACTGATTACCTCATTCTCCTCCTCTCCTTACGCCTTCCTCTTTGTATTGGACTGATGAAGCCACTGTGTGGCGAAACGTTTCCTGAATAAAGATTCCCATATGCTGCATAAGTGTCTCAATCTTCAACAATTGTTCAGTTTGGCATGACAATCCTTTACATTGTGATTACCTAGACATCTGATACATCTGTCAAGTTCTTCCAGTCTTTCTACTTTAACATCCCATGAATTATAGGCATCACAATTCTTAGAGAAATGAGTACCCTTGCAGAAAAGACAATCTCTCTTTTCTTTGTCTTCGTATTAACTGGGCTACTCTTATGAGGGTACTTATTCCTTTTACTTTGATGTGGAGAATTACTATTTCTGATTCCTGCCACTTGATATGTGCCTATGCAACTCTTTTTAGGAGATGAATTATGAATATTAACATTGGGATAATTTTTCCCTTTGTGAACTTGACAGATACCTCAGAGTCATTATGTGTTGTATTTTTAAAATTATTTGGTTGAGTGGTCTACAATTAATTCTTGCAGACCTAGCCTTATTTCCTCCAGACCAAAATAAACTTTGTGATACTTATTAGAGAGCCACTCTACCATTTTACAGCTTAATTTATTCTGTCTGATTCATTCAGATTATGTTTATTAAAGTTTTAAGAGTGCTGTCCAGTTTATTTCTAAACTGCTGTAAACTTTTGTAATTGTGATCTAGAGTTTTTAAATTAACAATAATAGTTACTAGATCCAGCCAACTTTGTTTTAGATTGCCATAAGTGACCTTCAATAAGTCAACTGCTTCTTTGTAAGAGTCATCTACATTGGGAAAAGCTTGTATGAGCATGTGGGCATCTCCAGGGCCAGATTAAGAAGTCTCCGGGCCCTAGGCTATTCAGATTGGCGGTGCCCCTTTGAGTTACGGGTAAGCGAAGCGACCCCTTCCAGCTTGGGGGTGGAGGGGGGGGGGGGGTTCGGTGTGAGCCTGTTTAAGGTCTAATTAAATACATTCTGGCTATTTAGATTAAATTTAATAGGGAAAGTACATCAAGACAACCAAAACCATTTACCAACAGCCATTATAACTATCTTGTTAAATCATGCATTTTAAAGAGAATAAACTCAAGACAGCATAGTATTACTAGATTAGGCTATTAAAGTAGTGACATCATGTACCTATTATATTCAGCATAACCACTACAGCACTATTATTCCCTTTATAAATCACTGACCCCTTTGCACTTGCACCATGTGCGCAGTCTTGGATGAGCCCCTGAACCCCTTGGACCGTGGGGCCCCCAAATGCGCAGGGCCCTAGGCAAATTCCTAGTTTGCCTATGCGGTAATCCGGCCCTGGGCATCTCCTCTTATCTGTCCTTTGAGGTAAAATAATTTAGTAACACATGCCAGGTCATTCCTATTATGCACAGCTGCTTTGAAAATTTACCAAAACTCCTCAGTTTTCTCTAGGATTAAATACAGGTAAACATAATTCTGGGAGTTTTGGCAAAGACATCTTATTTACATTACTAGGTTGATTAACTGCCTGGTTTACACCTTTTAATTTATTCTTCTAATTCATAATATCGGTTAATTAGAATATCCATTTCTGTCTCGTCTACACAATTAACCAGCAAATCTCCTTCATATTTTTTGTAAAATAATTTGTATGACTCGTATCTATTTCCTAAGGCATCTAAATACAATTTTAAATCATCAGTATTCACAGTTTCTTGATTAATTAATTCCAAACATTTGCAATCGTGTCATTACGATTTCTTGAGTCAGTCCAAACATTTATTGTATGCCTTGGTTACATGACCTTTCCTAGTCTGTAATGATGCTTTCTTTGCTCTAAAATCCATGGACTTGCCAGCTCCATTAACTTCCTCATTTTCACCCATGGTTCAATATATAAAATTAACTTAATAAACACTGATTATACATTTAATTATACGATTTATAAAGGTAAATATTGCAACTTACCCCTGAATAAATCCTAGCCACATGAGCTTAGCAATTACACATGTAAGGAAATTATAATATAAATTTTAAATCCACAGTATAAATCCTAGCCACACTTGAGCTTAGAAAAATTAATATTGTAGTAATTTTAATCCACTACACAATTAAGTAAATTTGTGGACCCAACATCCCTATCCCTCTGTCATGGCACTTATAATTTTAAGTAATTAATTCACTAATTAATGAATTCAATAATTACATCCGGTTCGAAGGACCAACAGGCAACTGGGGTTTACCTGGAAACTGTGGGAATTAATATTACTGCATGAAACTCACTATATTCATACCAGTAATTTTATGAATACAGCAAGGATAACTATTTCTTACCAATTGTATGTAGGAATTTTGAGATATCCTAGGTCACATAATCCCATAAGTTACTCTGGACCTATATTAACTTCAAATTTAATAAACACAACCTGGTAATAATATTTACATAAAATTAGGTGGACTGTATGTTAAATTGACAGAAAGGAATACATGTATTTATACGTCATATGAAAAAAATTGTTACCAACTCTCACCAAATTTGTCTGGAGATTGCTTGGTGCAGCTAGGTCACCCGCAGCCCCTGCTTAGATATGAGAAAACTAACTGGCCAGAAGTTCAACATGTACAGTGCAGTACTTAGCTGAGGGTTCCATGTTATCCCTTTCAACATTTAATTTCTAAGTCCTGTCAAGTCATTGTTTTATCACATTCTACAGGACTGTAACTCCAATTCTTCTTGCTCCTATTTGAGAGGCTTAAACGACTTTTAACCTCCAGAGCTATGAAATAACTCCCTCACATTTCACACTCGTTTTCTTTCTCCAGTTATTATATGGTGTCCCTTTTTAATTTCCAAATTAATTTTAACCAACAACAATGTATTTCATTAACTTAATTGCTAAATACACTATAATTTCAGAAAATACAATATTTTCCACAAAATGGGTACCTGGGTGTTTAGGCGATTGGTGTGTGTTGTATCCTGGGACAAAACTGACCTAATGCTCAGCATAACAAGCAGCTTTTTATACAGTAGTATGTCATTAATGTTAGCTATTGTCTGTATACCTTGTACATATACTTGGAAAAGTAAAGATAGTTGATGGTAGTTAGCAGTACTTCCACCTACATCATCCAATGCTTGATGTGCTTGTTAAATAGCGTTATATTGAATTACAAATGAAAATACTCCCACTATCTGTATACCCAAGACTGACACACAAAGTTAGTTAGTTTTTTAGTTAGTTTAATATGTTTATTATGCACCCCATACCCATCCAGTGGGCGGTAGTCAAAAGATTACAGAGGTACATAATGGGTCCAGGGACTGGGCCTCAAAGTTTTGATAGCTGAGCAAGTTACAGAGGTAATGAACTCACAATTTACAAAGGTAATGAACTCCAGGTAGGTCTAGTCACAATCATGACAAGTTACAAAGACAGAAGTGAGTGTCTCAGACTGCGTCTTATAATAAGACTTGTTAACTGTGTACAATACTGGTAGGTTGATGAATAAAGACAAGTGAGCATGCCTTGGCCATCTTCATTAATGAAACGTTTTGCATACACAACAAATTTCTTCAGTTGAAAACAAACAGATGTATCAGACAGTTGTGTAGTAGTTTTGAGGTAATCAGTCCCTCCGCCTTCTAGGTAGGAGGTAGATCTCTCTCTTTGGAACACTCGGTTTCGAGTCGAAGATCAAAATAGTCCATAAATAAATTCCCTTATGGGCGAAATGTTTCTGAAAATGAAGTGATAAAATATTAGAAGTCCAAATGAGTAGGTCATCATGATTGAGGGTAAAAATAAAAACTATATCAGACAATTTGTCTTTTTCAGATTTCTCCTGACGAAGAGGACAGCTGGACACCATAACCCACACCGTGGCTTGGTTGATAGTACTCTCAGCTAGCATACTGGGTGTCTGTGATTCGATTCCTGGCCTGTTGGAAACATTGAGTATGTTTCCTTACACCTGCTGTCCCTGTTCACCTAACAGTAAGTAGGTACTGTGATTGCTTATATATTTCTTTCTTCTTTCAACACACCGGCAGTATCTCACCGAGGCAGGGTGGCCCAAAAGGAAAAACGAAAGTTTCTCCTTTTACATTTAGTAATATATACAGGAGAAGGGGTTACTAGCCCCTTGCTCCCGGCATTTTAGTCGCCTCTTACAACACGCATGGCTTACGGAGGAAGAATTCTGTTCCACTTCCCCATGGAGATAAGAGGATATAAACAAGAACAAGAACTAGAAAGAAAATAGAAGAAAACCCAGAGGGGTGTGTGTATATATATCCTTGTACATGTATGTGTAGTGTGACCTAAGTGTAAGTAGAAGTAGCAAGACGTACCTGAAATCTTGCATGTTTATGAGACAGACAAAAGACACCAGCAATCCTACCATCATGTAAAACAATTACAGGTTTTCGTTGTACACTCACTTGGCAGGACGGTAGTACCTCCCTGGGTGGTTGTTGTCTACCAACCTACTACCACAGGACGGTAGTACCTCCCTGGGTGGTTGCTGTCTACCATCCTACTTCCACAGGACGGTAGTACCTAGTACCTCCCTGGGTGGTTGTCTACCAACCTACTACCTAGGTGCTTATATATGTATGGAAGAAACCAAAATAAATAACACACACATGCAGTAGTGTCTTCCACTAATCCTCACCTGGAAGGCCATACGAACACTAAGACATATTGGCATGCTTGTATCGAAGACCATATGTCATTGGCAACAGATGGCGTTAGGGTGGATCTTCATTGTAATCTCTGGAACTTTTAGCTGCTGCTGGTGTTTCTGTTGGTGTCAGCAGCTGTTACTGTTAATGAGGGTCCTGTTGCTTGTGTGTGTGTTTTCCTCTAACGTTAATTCTTCTGTTGCTGCTCGTGTTGATAACGATTTTGTCAGATGCTGCTCTTACTGTTGCTGCGTTTGTTCCTGTTACTGCTATGATGTTTCTGTTGCTGCTGTTACTGTTATGATTGTTGCAGCTGTTGGTAGCGTTCCTTTTTTAATGGTAACATATTTGTAATTATGTAAATAAGTGCATATTTATTATATATAATGCAGCTATACAAATACCTGATCCACATTTGCATAAATCTAAAAGAGAGACTTGAGACAGTAGACAACAGAGTAAGACGACTCATCTCTGGCCTGGGCCCGGTCTGGATAGATACATCATTTCAGCAAAGTCTTCAACGCTGGAGGGATGTGGGTGGCCTTAATGTTATGTACAAAACCAATACTGTCAAGGTACCACACTTGGCTCCACTCCGAGGACAGCGAGAAGTGAGCTTCTAGACCACAAGACGGGCAGCCAGCAGCAACTTCACAACATCACTTCATTGTAAATCACTTATTCCCAGAATGACTCGAATCCGGAACATATTCATACAGCATAATATCAACGAAATAAAATAAGTTAATTAAATGAAATTGCTGGTCCACAGATGGCTCCAACTTCATCCTGTTTGCTACTTACATATCTCATAATAAAAAAAGACTTAAATGAGATGATGTAATAGCTCTTAGCTCGTAAATAAACTTAGGAACCTTAACCCAACCTTGTTAAATACTGTGAAAAAAATATGGGGGGGGGGGGTAGGGGATTTAGGTAGTTGGATTGATGACAACCTTTTAAAACAGGTTAACCCTTGTGGTTTAGCGCTTCTTTTAGATTATAAAAACTTTAAAAGATATAATTAAATTCAGGTTGATGCCGTGATTGGGCACATGAGCCAGGGGACAGGAGCTATGAATCGCCCCCTGCAACCATAATAAGGTGAGTACACACCCTCACACTTTCACCCCATCTCTCTCATTTTCACCCTCTCTCACAAGGTCTTTGATGCTGGTGAGGGACTCTTGATCTAGGGAATTGGATCTGTGCTCCAGTTCCATGAATTAATCCTGAATGCCTTCCCCCCACCTTTCTTCCACAGGTGCTGTACAATCCCTACAGGTTTAATACCTTCCCTATGATTAAAATAACCTCGCCTAGGTCCTTTTCAGCAGACAGAGTGTCTGAGTTACATCCCTCAATAAAGGTAATTTGTCCTGTTGTATTTAATCCTTGTATACTGGTTTTATTTACTCGTAGTGCAAAGTCTTATTTCTATGGAGAGTAATATTTATTAAAAGACAATTTAATGGAGTAATCTCATCGAGCATTAATTACTGGCCTTCCTATGACCCTTAGAAAGGGGACTGTCTTAAAGACTAATGACTGAGTATCAATCGCCATTAATGGGATGGTAGGGCCATGACCTCTAAGATCCCCGCAGCGCCAGATCTCACACCCAACACAAGTGTGGTTCTCTCCAGGCATCCTGGACCAGCATCCAGACTTGCGCTTTTAGTCTTTTTAAACTCAAGTTCAAGACTTTGGCTTGAACTGTCCTGATGTGGATATCAAACAAAAAATCTTTGCCTTAACTACCTCTCATTCTGAAAGACTTATTTTTTTAAATTTCGTATATTTTTTTGTGTCGATTCCTTCTTGCCATTACAGTATTTCGTTTTGCATTGCCATTTGAGTTTCTATGAAGGTTGAGAAGGGCATCAAAAATGACATTGGTATTGTGTGATATATGTGTGTTCTGTTACTTTTCCATGAGTCTGTGTCAGCGTTACAAAACTATTTTGACAATGTGGAATGACCAGCAGAATTGAATTTATATTTAACAGGTCTAGGGATCTGAATGAAGGCAAATTGTCCTGCCTATATGACCCTAGTGAGTTTAGTGCTTTCTTTTGATTATGATAATGCCCTGCCTATAATACGAGTCAGTGGTGGTTCTGATGGTTTCCGTTTGTTGCAAGATTGGTTTAAAGTAGATGCCTCTGGTGGAACAGGTACAAATTCCATAGGTGACGTATGGGTAAAATGGTGGTCGTGTTAGTATAGAGTCGGGATTGTATAGGGGATTGGATAGTATAGGATGGGATTGTAAATAATTTTCTAAAACTGTTAAGCACAACTCGAAACAGGGGATTAAGTTAAAGAAATTCTGATTAGTTGGTAAGTTGTGGAGTAGAGTAAACTGGCCTAAAACTTTAAGTTTAATGTATGCACTGAAATATGTGAATAATATGGCCTAACTTTTTTTCTAGCGTGTGATCTGTGCCTTCCTGCTACACCAACACCACAGGAGGTTCAACCTGCGCTGCGGCATTGCTGATGGCGAGAACCCCTCAGGTAAAAGTTGTCTGTTGCTGGTAATGGGTAATCGTAGTAGAAGAGGGTTCAGTCTAAAATCAATAAACAGGACACTACAGGAGAGTTGAATCCTGTTCATTTATCTTTACAAAAACTGTTACAAGTGTTATCCTTCAGTCTCTCTCATCCCTCCTTCAGTTACCTTTTAATGCATAATATTCATCCCACCTCTGGCTACCTTCAAGGAGCTGGAGAGATACATAACGTCAGTACCCGATCAACCAGTCTGTGGTTCGTACGTTGGATTATGTGTGGCCAGCAAAAGCAGCCTGGTTGATCAGGACTTGATATAACGGCAGGTCTGGTTAAGGACTGGGCCGCGGGGGCTTTGACCCTTGAAACACCCTTCAGGTAGACACACTTTCACACCCTCCAGGTACACACTTTCACACCTTCCAGGTAGACACACTTACCTCACTCGTTCCTCTCTCTTTCCCTCCATAAGAATGTCACTGAACGTCTCCTTTCCTTCTTCCAGATGTGGGCGTCTTGGAGGTGGATGCCGCCACTGCCACCAACAGCCTGGAGACTCAGAGACGTAGGATGTGCTGTATCTGACATGAAAGTCCAGGAATGGTGGGAAGATCGACGACACAAGAAACTACACCTACGAGGGGAAGGTTCCTTCCCAGGATCACCCTGGTAAGTCCCAGTAGCAGAGTTGAAGGTTGCTAAGAGTGCTTAAGGGTGAATATTAGAGGGTTCTGATAGACCAAATGGAGGTAATGGTTGACAAGGGTGTGATAGACCTCTGAAGGGTAGATATATAATGTGCAGAAGTGAGATTTTTTGTAAATTGTGAAAGTGATTGTGTGTGTAAATGTAAGTGTAGTCTGTGATGAAGGGACGTCTCAGAGGAGAGAATAGAAAACCTGAAGAATGTCTAGAGAAGAAAATGGGAATGTAAAGACAGGGAGGAAAAGGCGGTTTCTCTCCTATAAAGATCAGGATGATCTACAAGGATGAAGGTAGGTAAAAAAATGGAGAGTAGAGCTTCTGAAGTTGAAAGTATAGTAGGTTGTGGATGATTTTGTGAACAGCAGAGCGGAGGAGGTGCTAGTTTCTAGCAGCCAAGAGAGATGTGCTAGCTTCCAGCAGCCAGGAGAGAGAGGGAGGTACTAGTTTCTAGCAGCCAGGAGAGAGAGAGAGAGAGATGTGCTAGCTTCTAGCAGCCAGAAGAGAGAGGTGTGCCAGTTTCTAGCAGCCAGGAGAAAGAGAGATGTGCTAGCTTCTAGCAGCCAGGAGAGAGAGGTGTGCAGTTCTAGCAGCCAGGAGAAAGAGAGAGAGATGTGCTGTGCTAGCTTCTAGCAGCCAGAAGAGAGGGAGGGAGAGGGAGAGAGAGGGAGGTATGAGAGAGAGGGAGGTATGAGAGGGAGATAATGAGGCCAAGTTTAACATCCATAAAATGGAAGAAATCACAGTAAAACACGTGTTTGCAAATAGGTATAAAATACAACAGTGAAAATAGGAAGACTTTGAGCGATTTTGTGTCCGCAAAAACGTAAAAACGTTCAAGTTTAATTTCCTATTTTCACTGTGATGTTACGTCTATTAAAATATATTTCTTCTCACGCAATTATCAAAGTCTCTCTCTGAGTTATTTGTGATTTATTGACTCCCATAAACATGAAAATAAGTTACATTATCAATCAAAAGTTTATTAACAAAGTTTTCGCATCAGTAGAAAATTATCAAAAAAATTCTATCGTGTCAGTTGCTAATTTTGGGGGAGAAAATTTTGACCTCAAAATTTTCCTTTAGTCTTACGAATGTTGATAAATTTCCTAAGTTTTCAGTATTGCCCCAAAAAATCCCACCACGCCTAGTTTTGATTGTAATAATAATACTACTGATTTCTGTTTCAGGTGTGGAGAGCTGGAGTTCCTGGACGAGTTCAGAGAGGTGGCACAGACGGTCATGTCCTGGCACTACACTGGTTCTCATCCCAATCAGTCTTCAGCAACCAAAGTCTGGAGAACTCCACCATCTCCTCCACCCAGGGTGATTCCGTGTGGCATCCAGGCTTCCAGTGGCGCAGAGTGACCTAACCACGTCCATAACGTAGCCAGATAAGCGATCTTCACGAGTCAGCGATGAAGTCTGGTCAGCAGCCGTTCCAGAGAGTCTCCACATCAATGCCTGAGGCTCCAGTCGGCGATGGAGTCTGGTCAGCAGCCGTTCCAGAGAGTCTCCACATCAATGCCTGAGGCTCCAGTCGGCGATGGAGTCTGGTCAGCAGCCGTTCCAGTGTCTCCACATCAATACCTGAGGCTCCAGTCGACGATGGAGTCTGGTCAGCAGCCGTTCCAGAGAGTCTCCACATCAATGCCTGAGGCTCCAGTCGGCGATGGAGTCTGGTCAGCAGCCGTTCCAGTCTCCACATCAATGCCTGAGGCTCCAGTCGGCGATGGAGTCGGTCAGCAGCCGTTCCAGTCTCCACATCAATGCCTGAGGCTCCAGTCGGCGATGGAGTCTGGTCAGCAGCCGTTCCAGTCTCCACATCAATGCCTGAGGCTCCAGTCGGCGATGGAGTCGGGTCAGCAGCCGTTCCAGTCTCCACATCAATGCCTGAGGCTCCAGTCGGCGATGGAGTCTGGTCAGCAGCCGTTCCAGAGAGTCTCCACATCAATGCCTGAGGCTCCAGGTGCCGTGAACACTGTGTACTGTCTTCAATCAACCATTCATCACAGCGAGTGAAAAGTGTGCCAAAAAGTGTGTCAAAGCCCGTGTGTCTTTCATTTCAGGGCTCCGAGTTGCTGAAAAAACTCGTTTCAATAAGAATCGTGAAAAAATCATATTATGCCATGAAAAACAGTGTTAATTTCGATTCATAACGAGAGAAAAAATCAACAGAAAAGTGAAAAATTCATTGTTGTAAACTACTGTATTTGTAAAGTCACGGCACCGTGACTGGAGCAAATAGTTTCGTCTTGGACCGAAACGTTGTCAAAAGTAGCTTAAGTACGAGTTATTTGCTCCAGTCACGGTGCCGTGACTATATTTTCTGATGAAAGTTATTGTTGTGTGTATATTGACTGTAGTAGTGACTTAGGTCTTGACAGTGTCAAAGACAAGTCTAGTAGCAGAATATTGTGTCAGGAGAGTCTAAGAGACTTTAGAAGTTTGTTATGACTTACGTATCACTCGGTACAAAGTCATAACAAACTTCTAAAGCCTCTATTGACTCTCCTGACACAATATTCTGCTACTAGACTTGTCTTTGACACTGTCAAGACCTAAGTCACAACTACAGTCAATATACACACAAACTGTCTATATAAACTGTTTTGTAATCTTATAAATAAATTGCTTGAAGGTACTGAAATCTATCAATGAACCCCAGTAGGGTAGCTGGGGCACCAGGGGGGTACGGGTAGGGGGGTACGGGCAGCCGGGTGGGTGGGGGGGGCTGGGAAGGGGGGGGGGGGTGCGGGGGAAAAGGGGGGGTGCGGGGGAAAGGGGGGTATGCAGGGGAGAGGGGGGGAGGGAGGGTGGGGGTAACGGGGGCTGGTTTGGCGCATTTATGGCCGTATATAAGGCTATTTAATTAATTTTCTGGGGGGGGGGGTTTGGGGGGATTCGGGGGGGTTTGGGGGGATTCGGGGGGTTTGGGGGGATTCGGGGGGGTTTGGGGGGGATTCGGGGGGGTTTGGGGGGGGATTCGGGGGTGGGGGGGTGTCAGAAATTTCCTGTGAAACTAACTTTCATAAAATTCCACGGTGAAAATAACTCATCCAATTTCACGGTGAAAATAATCATACTCAAATTTCGCGGTGAAAATAACTAATTTTTTTTTTTTTTAACTGTGAAAATAACTCTGCCCCTTGTTTTAAGTCAAGAAATATTGCGGTGAAAATAACGACTGTGTTGTTGTTGTTGTTGTTGTTTTGTTGTTGTTTTGTTTTGTTGTTGTTTTGTTTTGTTGTTGTTGTTTTGTTGTTGTTGTTGTTGTTTTGTTGTTGTTGTTTTGTTGTTGTTTGTTTTGTTGTTGTTGTTTTGTTGTTGTTTTGTTGTTGTTGTTTTGTTGTTGTTGTTGTTGTTTTGTTGTTGTTGTTTGTTGTTGTTGTTTGTTTGTTTGTTTGTTTTTGTTGTTGAAGGTTGTTAAGAATACATGGTAAAAAAAAAAATTATTATTTGAAAACTTGGCTAAAGTATTTTTTTTCGCTTCTGTGATTTACAGTGATTTACAGCAAACCAAATTTACAATAACTGGACAGAAATAACACAAATAATATAAACATCACAAATAACATAAGGAAAATATTAGGTAAATATCATATTAAATACAAGAAATATTAAACAATTTATAATTCGTATAGTTTATATAGAATTTACATAAAATTTATAAATTATATAATTTATATTACTATAAGATTATCTTTAGAATATATAATTTAAAAGTATTTTTATAATACATAAATTTAAAAATATTTATATAACATACTTTAAATATATATATATATATATATATATATATATATATATATATATATATATATATATATATATATATATATATATATATATTTATTATATATCAATTACTCACATAACCGTTTTTTAATTTTCTAACAAATAATAAATATATTGATTTAAGTTACTTCAGTCTGACTCTTTCAATAACTCCATGTTACTCATTTGGACAAAAAATGAAATGAAAAGATTTGCCTAGATAGCAGCAGCAGCACGGTGCCGCGAGAACAAAATTTCCACTTCACGAAAAATGACACTTGCCACGGTGTGTATATATATACACACACACGTATATATACTTGGTTATATATACACACTTGGCGTGTTATAAGCTACCCTCAACGGTGTATATATATATATACACACACACACGTATATATACTTGGTTATATATACACACTTGGCGTGTTATTAACTACCCTCAACACTTGTATGGTTTTTCCAGTAACCTCTTTCAGGATTTTCTTATGATCAAACTGTCTTAGCTGACACACAATGAAATATTTCAATTGGGTAATAAAATATTTATTTTTTAAGTTCTCTTCATAATATTCAGTATCCCCAGCAACACAGATTTCAGTAACACTATATTGTCTTGGCTTATAATGGGGTACTCAAAGCCTGGATCTTAGGCCATAAGCATTTGTTTACCAGCTCACAATTGCCACCATTATCTGGACTCCTCTTCACGTCCTCTTCAAAAACATCTGTAAATGAAGAGAGAGAGAATTAAACTAGATAAATGTTCATGTATGGTATACAATACTGACAAGATGAAGTCAGACACATGTGAAACATCTGGGTATTTTTATGGTTGACATTTTGTCATCCAGTGACTTTATCAATACAAATTCAGACAATTAGCAGACAATAGAACTATATACAAAAGATGAGGTAATCAGTCCCTCAGTCTTGGGGTTGGTGAAGAGCACCGTAGAACCTGATCAAGTCACACCTTACTAGAGCTAAACTGAAGCTTTGCAATGTAGCAATTGTCTACCCAACCACCACCCTTAACCCCCTTCTCCACATTGAATGAAAATAACATAAGAAAGAAGGTACACTGCAGCAGGCCTACTGGCCCATGCGAGGTCAGGTCCAAGTCTCCTACCGACTTGAGCCAATGACCCAACCTAGTCAGGTCAGGTCACATTCACTTAACGAAGGAGCACAACATCAGACCTAGTAGCACCAGCTAGTCAGGTCCAACTCACACCCCCTCATGTATTTAACCCATTTTTAAAACTACACAACATTTTAGCTTCTATGACGGTACTGGGGAGTTTGTTCCAGTCATCCACAACTCTATTACCAAACCAGTGCTTTCCTATATCCTTCCTGAATCTGAATTTTTCCAACTTAGTCACTGCAGTGAGTCCTGTCTTGGCTAGTTATTTTTAGCACGCTATTTATATCCCCTTTATTTATTCCCATTTTCCATGGCTCTGGTGGCCTGGTGGCTAACGCTCTCGCTTCACACGGCGAGGGCCTAGGTTCGATTCCCAGCCAGAGTAGAAACATTGGACGTGTTTCTTTCCACCTGTTGTCTATGTTCCCCATCAGTAAAATGGGTACTTGGGTGTTAGTCAACTGGTGTGGGTCGCATCCTGGGACACTGACCTAATTTGGCCGAAATGCAGAGCATAACAAGGGACTTTCTATATGGTAGTATGTCATTGTTGTCAGCTAGGACTGTATACCATGTACATGTACTTGTAGTAAATAAAGATATTATATTATTTATACACCTCAATCATATCCCCCCAAATTCTACGCCTTTCTAGAGAGTGCAGATTCAGGGCCCCAGTCTATCCTCATAGGGATGATTTCTGATACATGGGATCAACTTTGTCATCCTATGTATGTTTTCCAGAGCATTTATATTCATTCTGTAATACGGTGACCAGAACTGTGCAGCATAATCTAAACGAGTCATAACCAAGGATATATAGAGTTGAAAAACAACCTGAGGACTCCTATTTATTTATACTTCTTGATATGAAGCCAAGGATTCTGTTAGCTTTATTACCTGGAGAGAGTTCCGGGGGTTAACGCCCCCCCTGATCAACCAGGCTGTTACTGCTGGCTGCACACAAACCAACGTACGAACCACAGCCCGGCTGGTCAGGAACCGACTTTAGGTGCTTGTCCAGTGCCAGCTTGAAGACTGCCAGGGGTCTGTTGGTAATCCCCCTTATGTATGCTGGGAGGCAGTTGAACAGTCTCGGGCCCCTGACACTTATTGTATGGTCTCTTAATGTGCTAGTGACACCCCTGCTTTTCATTGGGGGGGATGTTGCATTGTCTGCCAAGTCTTTTGCTTTCGTAGTGAGGTGATTTTCGTGTGCAAGTTTGGTACTAGTCCCTCTAGGATTTTCCAGGTGTATATAATCATGTATCTCTCCCGCCTGCGTTCCAGGGAATACAGGTTCAGGAACCTCAAGCACTCCCAGTAATTGAGGTGTTTTATCCCCGTTATGCGCGCCGTGAAGGTTCTCTGTACATTTTCTAGGTCAGCAATTTCACCTGCCTTGAAAGGTGCTGTTAGTGTGCAGCAATATTATTGCGAACACTTCTGCACTGTCTTGGTTTTAGATTACTGCTAACCAGAACTCCCAAATTCTTTTTGCAATCAGTAATATTAAGATCTATATTTAGTTTATATGTGGCATGGTTATTTTCCTGTCCAATGTTTAGAACCTTTCGTTTGTCTATATTAAACTGCATATGCCACTTCTCCAACCACTGCATCAGTCTATTCAAATCTTCCTGGAGTGCTCTAATGTCCTCGTCAGAATGAATTCGTCAGCCTATTTCGGTGTCATTGGCAAACTTGCTTATACGTATTGCTATTTATTCCCTCATCTATGCCGTTTATGTAGACTGAACAAGGGGCCCAACACTGACCCCTGAGGAACACTGCTAGTGATGCTACCCAACTCTGATTTCTCCCTATTTATGCAAACTCTCTGCTGCCTGTCAACCATGCCTTAATTTTCCTCAATAGTCTCTGTGTGGGACTATCAAAAGCCTTTCTGAAGTCCATATACACATCATAATCATTACCATGATCTACCTAAGTGAAAAAAGTTAATAAATTCGTAAGGCAGGAACATCCTTTTGTAACACTGTGCTGAGATTCGTTGATCAATTTATGCTTTTCAAGATGGCTACGAATTGCCTCGGCAATTGATTTCATAAATTTTACCATTATGGAGGTTAGGCTTATTGGTCTATAGTTCGAAGCTAAGGACCTGTCACCTGCTTTGTAGTGATTATTATAATCAAAGAAGCACTAAACCAACAAGGGTCATACAGTGCTGCGGGGTCGAAAACAGTGCTGGAGCTATAAACAGCTAGGTAGAAAGGGAATCTGCCACAAAGCTTACCTCCTTCAGTTGTCACCTCCCAGAACCAACAGGCAGCCTCTGGAGATACACCCGTCATCTGCAGGACACCCCATCCACTTCTCGGAAATCCAGAAAGGGAGCAGGACGCCTCCAGATAATCCAGATTCCACGACAAACTACACCACACCTGAGGAACCTTATGGAGAGGGAAGAACTCCAGCACACTTCACACTTCCCCCTACCAAGAAACCGTAATGCCAGAGGGAAGGACCCCAGAGGCTACAAACGGGACGGGAAAAAGGGGAAGGGTTGGGAAGGGAGAGGAAAGGGAAAAGGGGGAGATCAGGAGGATGAGATAGGAATGGGAGAATTGAGGGGGGGGGGGTAATTAGGTTCAATCTGAGGAAGGAGACCAAAAGGTCTAATTCCTCAGACCAAGAGACTCTTCACCTCACCAAGGAGCTTCCCTTGAAGAGGAGTTTGTAGTGATA